CGACATTCCATAATTTACATACCAAACGAATTTATCGTCCCAGGTGGCAGATTTCGTGAATATTATTACTGGGATGGATATTGGATCATCAAAGGTCTACTCGCTTCTGGTTAGCAGCATTTTAGGATTTGCAAAGATTTTCTAGGCAAACAAAACTTTCATATAGTGCTACCTGCAGTCAGCATTCTAGCTACGCTTTTTAAATTAATGGATAAGTAAAACGTACTTTACGGAGAGCAGTTGGCACAGTATTTTGATTCTAAGAACTAGCTTATTTTGCAGATTTATCGGCCGGGGGCGGAGGGGATCGAACATCTTATCTTTATTATTTCCGGATCCTTCGAATCGTGAGGTGACGATCTGCCTATTACAAGTGTTTAGAGCGTTTTACTCGCCTGTGTGCCAAAATTACATAAAATTTAGTAGTTCTTAACTGCTGCCAGCTTCTCGCCAGTACCCATAGCACAGGGCGCACTTACATATCAAGACGCTATGTCAAGTTCACGCATACGCTTACTTCTTTTGGTAGTCTAAGTGATCCAGAAGAATTCTGGGGGATGCCGACTTCTTTTGAGACTTTTGGTGATCTAGAGGGGTTCACTTCTAAGACTCTCAGTATTACTCTGAGGTGTTTACTTCTTCTGAGATCCTCAACGACCTAGGACGATTTCCAATGGCGCTCGCCCTGTTTCAAATTTTGGGGATCCAGAAAAAATTCTAGAAGCATTCTGTGGTGTTTCACCGTATAATTCTCAGAAAAATCTTCGTAAAATCAGAAGGAATTCCTTTCAAAAGCTTGATAGCAACAAATATCTATCAAAACAGGTTTGTTGAGAAAATGATTGACAACAAAGCCCATTGCAGGTATGCATGTGACAACCCGTCGAATGATTGCGAATTTCGTCTATTTGATCGACAAATTTGGCTTTATCCCGAACGGTGGACGGATCTATTACGCCACACGATCACAACCACCACTTTTCATCCCAATGGTTTATGAGTACTATGCTGCAACGCAGGATGACGAATTTCTGGCTTCTGTTATAGAGGCTATGGAGAAGGTAAA